TCCTTTTCGTACTAATATCACTTGAAGTTCTAAAATTTTATGATTCATAATTCTACTGGAAGAATAATGATGTAACAACAAAATATGGTTGTCATAGATCCACAGAATTAGCGTTTCTTTGGGGAATCCGTGTATCGAACACCTGCAGCCTAGGCAATGTATAAGAAGCAAAGATAACAGGAAATGCACATGGCAAAGAAAAAGGAGGAAGGCTAAATGAATTCTGATTAGAAAATACACAGCAACACAGTCCTCACTGTTTCAAAGATGAACAGTTATCACAGGGGAGGTAGAATTATGAAAGGAAACATTTTCTTGATTTCCTCTAATTGTCACTTTTTAGTGTAGAGATATATACATATGGATTTGGGGCACCTCAAAAAATCTTCTCAAAAGGTTACCTTTATTGCAGATAAAAAATTAATATGATCAATTAATTTGATTATTAATAAACTCAAAAAAGGGGGCCTTCATTGAGAGAGTCCTTTTTCCTCCTCATCACATCCTTCATATTTATTACAAGGCCATGGTGGTAGTTTCACATTGATTGGTTTGCAAATTGCTTCTGATTTAACAAGATGTTCTAAGTGAAAACATTAGTATAAGTTAACCAAAAGTATGTGCTGTGCTAACTTAAAAACGTCTTTTCATATTAGTTTGTGTTGTGATGAAGATCTCATTGAATTTTCATCATATCGTGTCACATCCATCATAGATTGAATGGAAAATGGAGGCTCTCCAAGAAGTTTGTAAAAGGGACTGTTTCCCTATTCATTGGAAATAACTCAAAATTCAGGCATGATTAAGTCCAGGTCTACAAATATTTACTGATTGACTGTTGCAAGCCAGACACCCTGCTGGATGCCAGGGACATCAATATAAATAAACACAATTTTTGTTATGAATAACCTAAATCCAGATTAAATCTACTATCATGAAGAAGCCTAAAGTATTATTCCTAGAATAGTAACATCATTGCTATCTATATAAATATTAGTTATCAAGGGAAATAATCCAATAAATTAAGGGGGGTGATAATAGCAAATATATGCCACTTAATTTGGTGATATGATATGATATTGCATTATATAGTACTAAATTCTCCCACTGTGAGAATAAAAACTAAAGTATAAACAGTTTTCCGAAACTGGACTATTTAAATGATTATGCACTTTATATACTCAAGTAAGAAATGGACAAGAGAATGTACCTAACAAATGAATAATTACACTGTCTGACTGATAAGGTTAATGAGAAATAATTCATTTGCTTCGTGTTCTTTGCCATTTATTTTGGCACATATCAGCAGAGCATCATGAAGAGAAGCCTTCATATCCAGGGATATCTTTTTGCTGTGTTATATGCATGTATATGAATCTCCACCTGATATGGTGGTTCATAAGGAAGAAGCCAAAGTAATATAATCATAAGTCCAGAGACCACAACCCAATCCGCGTGGCTATGTTCTTACTTCAGCCCACCTGTGAAGCAGAGGCTGCAAGCCACAGCAGATGGTAATGGATTCACTTGAGCAGATGTTTCAGCCAACAGAACCTTACCCTCTCCTCATCTTTGGCATCTAATCTGGTTCTGAACATATCTCAGGAATTGGAACCTAGAATAAGTAGAGCTCAGAAATCTAAATTAATTCCTAAAATTTTGTGAGATCCAGGCTAAAAGACTTCCCACAAAGTTCAAATTTTGAGGTAATCTCTAAACTTTTTTTTAAAAAATTAGCCAAAATAATAACAAAGCATAACATATAATGTTGGCTAATTTATATAAACTAGAACAGTGTTTCTAAACTTTAGTTTGTGTAAAAATCACCTTGGATTCTTGTTAGACATAAGGTCCCAGATTTCATCCTCAGTGATTCTGATTCAGCAGATCTAGGACAGGGTTTAGGAATCTACAGTTCAACAGATGTCCCAGGTGACTCTAATGTGGGTAAAGTGGTCTGGTACTGACAGGTTCAAAACAAAGGCTTTAAGAGTCCAAAAAGAACTTTACTTGGGTAATTGCTAGGTAGAGGCCAGTGGAGAGATAACAGATGAACTCTGCCTTTAAGTTGCTGCCCAACAGCTCAGGCGGTCAGATACCAAGACAACTAACAATGTGAAATGAGATAAGTACTTTATAAGCAGTATTTTTAAAGTTCTTAGGGAATACAAAGGAGAAAGCAGTTATTTCTGTTGGGGAGGAAAATTAAGCGATTTTTTTCTGAAAGAACAATTCTTAAGATGTAACACATATGCTATAATTCAGTTACTAATATTTACATCTTATTCTTTATTTTGTCATCACCCTATTTTTACTGCCTTTTCATATGCTTATGGAACCCAGTGTTGCTTTTGAGTTTTGATCTATATACAGGTGGTTATTTTATTGTCAGTATCTTCATGTTTACTTCAAAGAGCATTCAAAGTTCTAAAAATGACCATTGCACCCAATTTATTTAGAACTATGACCTTCTCCACTTTATCTAGCTAGCTTTATTGTGGGCTCTCTCTTATACTAGCATTTTACTCATAGTACTCTAGTACTATGCTATGTGTTCCTTTTTTGGCTTAAAACATTTAATTTGTTTTCTAATTTGGGTACCAAGATACTGTTGATCCATGATGGATATTTTCATATTGTGGCATTCTACCATTAAATATCATATTTCAAAGTGGCCATGTATGATAAAGGAAACTACTTTGTCTATAGACGCTTCAGTACTTTGCTAAGGAAATCAGATTTGTTTGAGATAGTTTACATTAGGAGGCCAGCAACTTTTGAAACTTCAAAGAAAATTTAAGGTCCACAGAATCCATGTATGGCCAAATGTTTTCCTTTAGAGTATGAGCATGAACTCGTTTCCATTTTATAATACTTCTCTGTTGAATTCTTGAGACATATCTAAGAATTAAAAAAAAAAAAACTTAGGCCTAGAATCAACCTTATTTTCTCAAATACCAAAAGAACTTCTGGTTGCAGAATACAAAATTCTAATATTAAAATTAAAGGACAATTACAAATAAAGAATATATATGATTAGTACTTTAACACACATACACATACATGCAATACAGACACATATGGATGACATGTTTAAATATTCCATTTAATCCTTTTCAAGTAAATATTGTCCTACTTCAAATTATTTGACAAAATGAATTATTCTATTAAATAATGAGGCTTACCCAGTGGGAAAGATTTCTGTCCCAGAAATGTCAAAGCTGTTAATTAGTTTCTCTGATCTGCAATCTATATTTAGTGACGGATATGCCCCCTGTGAAATTAAGTGACTAGCACGGAGCAGTCAGGGACATAGGAGAAGGCAGGCCCAGGCCCATAAATCAACTCCTGAGTGACTTCCTGAGACTGTGCCAGGTCAGGGGACTGACTTCAACTCAGGTAGGTGCCTGAGATTGAGGTGACATTAGACCACATCAGGAGGAAGAAAGGAGGGAGTACAATAGGCAGGATGATTCTTTTCAATAAACTAATTACCGAAGAAATTAAAGTTCAGCAGAAAGGACTTCAAATGTTTAACAATTATATTTTCATCTACAGGAATACATTTTTCTATGTAATAGTAATATCAACCTGAAATTGGAATTTCAAAAAGTACATGGGATAGAAGGAGAGAAGGAGCGTGCAAGAAAGCCTTTAGCCACTTCGGCCAGTAAAGAAATAAATGGAGTCATTTTCAAAATTTGTTATATTTTACTATGGTCTTCATAATATAGAAGGAAACATATGAAAGAAAAATGTGATAGAATTCTTTCTGTTTTAGCCTGTTTCCCAAATGTTTTGACTACACCAAAAATCTTCCTTTTGTAGTGCCTAGGCTGGTATGTCTGTTGCCAGGTCAGTAATTCCAAAAGTGAAGTTCGCTGATGTATGCAGGTAGTTAACAAAAAGCTGTAGCTCAAAAGCTAAAATGTCATTGCTACAAAGTTGCAATGTAATGAAGAGAAGATCAGAGGGGATCCAGAGTCTGAAAAAGGATAGCTGGTTGAGGCTTAGTAGAGAGAAAATCTCCTAATCAAGGATGTTAACTCGAAGAAAAGGGAGCTTCATGGGTTGAATTACTATAGCAGGCAAGAGGGTAAAAATAACAGAGTTTGTGGTTTTTTTAAATCCGTGTTTATAAGCTACATAACAACAGTTATGAGCCTAATGAATTCATTCCTGCTCATTATATTGGCTAACATAAACAAGAATTTTCTGAACAAATCTAATAAAGTAACATTTCCACAGCACCAACTATGTGCAAGATGCTATGCTAGTTATTGTAGAAAATTTACAACAACAATAATAATAAAAGCACAAGATGTGGTCCCAGCCTTTGGGGGATTTTTATTAGTAAAAACTTACTGAATGAGACAGGGTCAATTAGATATGAAATGAAAGAGTCAAATAAATGACAAGGATCTCACGCCCTAATTGGAATCATGCTGTTTGCCCTAGTTGTAGACTGTTATGACTTGGGAAAGTGTCCATTCGCTCTTTACACAATGAAAGACTAATTTTCTTCATATTTCACCAATGAAGTAAATAAAAAGAGTGTCTTCATCATCATTATCACAATTCTAAAAGTAAAACAGTATGTTATATATGAAACAGAAGGCTTGATCAAATGAAATCTCAGTGTCAGAAAAGCAAAGGAGGTCTTTAAAGGAGGTGAGAAAAACAAGTTAATTCATGTCTTAATTTCTGGACTTAAATAACCAAATCGAACATCTTGAAGAAAGAAGTCAGAAAGCACCTCAGTTTCACGGGCAAATGCAGAAAAAGAAAACCACAACCACAACCAACCAACACTAATCAGGGTGGTGTTCTTTGTGGGCCCTTTCTGAGGATTGGTAGAAACTGCATTTTTTAATCTCTGTTTTCATGCTTGTCCAAAATCTTTAAAGGGAAAAGAGAGACAGAGAGAGAGAGAGAGAGAGAGAGAGAGAGAGAGAGAGAAGAGCACTGCGTAAAAGAAGCTCGAGATTTCTCAAATTCATACAAAAACGTCATAGGTAAGGAAACTTACCTGACTTGGCATCTGATCTTCAGTGATGGACTCAGAGGCAACCTCGGTTTATTTGGATTATTACTATGCTACAAGCCCAAACCCTGACATCAGGGAGCCCCGCTCCCATGTTCGTTATACCTCTGTCTTCCTTCCCATCTTTTACACAGCCGTATTCCTGACTGGAGTGTTGGGGAACCTCATCCTCATGGGTGCGCTGCATTTCAAACACGGCAGCCGAAGACTGATCGACATCTTTATCATCAACTTGGCTGCCTCCGACTTCATTTTCCTTGTCACGTTGCCCCTCTGGGTGGATAAAGAAGCATCTTCAGGACTGTGGAGGACGGGCTCTTTCCTGTGCAAAGGCAGCTCCTACATAATCTCAGTCAACATGCACAGCAGTGTCTTCTTGCTCACTTGCATGAGTGTGGACCGCTACCTGGCCATCGTGTGCCCTGCCATATCCAGGAAATTCAGAAGGAGAGACTGTGCATATGGAATCTGTGCCAGCATCTGGTTTATCTCCGGCCTCCTGGGGTTGCCCACCCTTCTGTCCAGGGAGCTCACGCTGATTGAGGATAAACCATACTGTGCAGAGAAGAAAGCAACTTCAATTAAACTGACTTGGGCCCTGGCAGCCTTGATTTTCACCTTTTTTGTCCCTTTGCTGAGCATTGTGACCTGCTACTGTTGCATCACAAGGAAGCTGTGTGCCCATTATCAGCAGTCAGGAAAGCATAACAAAAAGCTGAGGAAATCCATAAAGATCATCTTTATTGTCGTGGCAGCCTTTGTCATCTCCTGGCTGCCCTTTAATACTTTCAAGCTCCTGGCCATTGTCTCCGGGTTGCAGCAAGAACTCTATTTGTCCCCAGCCATTCTTCAGCTAGGCATGGAGGTGAGTGGGCCCTTGGCATTTGCCAACAGCTGTGTCAACCCTTTCATTTACTATGTCTTTGACAGCTACATCCGCCGGGCCATAGTGCACTGCTTGTGCCCTTGCCTGAAGAACTATGACTTTGGAAGCAGCATCGAGACATCAGATAGTCATCTCACTAAGGCTCTCTCCAACTTCATTCATGCAGAGGATTTTGCAAGGAGGAGAAAGAGGTCTGTGTCACTCTAAAACGAACTGTGACATTTCAAGCTCTGTTGGTGGGTTAGGGAGTTAAATTTTGTCAGCAACAAAGAAAGAAGAAAAGTATTAATGATAGCATTCATATTGCTTTATAAATACAGGGAAAATTAATTTTTAAAGAGAGGGCTGAAATGTCCCTGTGTTGTGGATATAATTAGGCCGTGTGCTGTTTTTTCAACTGAGCAGCCTTATTTGACCCTTGCCAATGAAGACTACCAGGCAAAATACAATTCCCATCTATCCTTGAACTCTTAGACAGAGGCTTCTGCTTGAGCCAGTTCCTTTCTTCGTGATTGTTAATGTACATTCAGGCCTTTCCTCTGTCAAGAATCATAGTAACTTCATTTTTCCTATTGGGTTCCAAATTAGAATATATTTAAAAAATTCTGCCCACTTTCTTCTGGTAAGAAATGTAGAGACAATTCAGGTAACAAAAATATAATATACCTGCATTCTGTCATTAATTGTTCCTGAGTTACTAAGCTACATTCTGGCCTCAATTTTTATAGCTTTGTATAGTGATTCTTCATCATCTTCCAACATTGTCATCCTATGTCTACTCACAATGGCTTTGGACTGGCTAAAAGCTCATGGGGATAAAATCATTTTATGTTGTGTTTATGATTTGGGATTGACTTTATCACTTGACCTTCTAGCATTTTAACACATAAGCATAGGGCAAGACTTGACCTTTGCCTTATAAGATATATTGGTAGAAATGTATCTCATTATAATGGTGTAGCAACTTTTAATAGAGTTTTACTGTGCTCTTTTGTTTTCATTGCCTTTCTAAATTAGGATTTAACTTTGCTTTAATTACATGTTTTTAATTACCCAGTTATCTAGTTATCAAATAAAAATGTTGCTATGAATATAATTGGTGCTCATCAAATGCTTAGCTCCACCTCAATGAAGATTATCTTTTGTATTTTAATTAAAATGTTAGTGCTTCACATTCCCTACAGCATCATTTGCTTGGTGCATATCATTTTAATATGAGATCTACTAACACAGGGAGACAGGATTCTCTGTATTAAGCCAAAGTGAAAAATCTATAACAAAGATGTTATTAGTATTTTATATACATTTTTCTAAATTGAGAAACTTTCCTGAATTCCTACACCTAATAAATATCTATTGAGTCAATTTGTACCTATTTTCCTTTCAAAGACTTTGAAGTGAAAAACATGTGAATAGTGGCAACCACAAAAGGCTTTGCAGCAGCAAACATGCTGTATTGTAAACATCTTTTGATTCAAGAGAAAGTGGACTATGTTTTTATTCCTGCTGTTGACCCAAATGAATTACCATTTTACTTCTAACAATTAGGCTTGAAAAGCAGAAAAAGCTTAGAATCTTTTCAGAGACTAGGTAATTTAATATCATCCCATGAATCTTTCACATTAAGAGAAATCTCAAATATTGGACATTTTCTCATATTATCACCTTTTTAGAAGTTGAAAACACAGTTTTTGGTTTTATAAATTGATTAATTTATTAATTTCTCTTAAATTTTTATTAAGTAAAATATAATTTCTTTACATAGCATTCTATACTATAAGTATTAATTTCTAACAATACATTACTATTAATTAGTATTAATATTCTACTAATCTTTTAATAAGTTATGGTTGTAGAAAAAAAGACAGTGTAAATTATAACAAATAAATCTTCTTGAAAAACTTTAAAACTGCACTCCAAGAATTGAATGTATCTCCAAAGGTTAAACAAAAACAAAATACAGAAGGTGGAGGGCATGCTTTTCTTTAAAACAAATTGACAAGAGCACTATTTCTAATCATGAAAGTTATTGCCTTTGAGAAATACTGCCTTTAAAATATAGGCAAATCAATCAGCTAAGGTATTTGTTGGGAAATGAGAAAATCTAGGTTATTAGTTTTGACTTTATCCTTAATGTTGGGACATTGAGAATGTCATTTTATGATCTTTCATACCTAAATGTACTTGCTAATATCTATGTCTATACATAGCATTCTCAAAGATATTGTAAGACTAAATAAATAAAATGTTTTTTAAAATATTGGGTAAAAAGTTACTACATAAAGCAATTGGATTTCTATTGTTAATTACTGAATGCTGCTTAAAAATTACCAAACTAGCATATCAATTAATAGTCGCTGACATTTAAAATATTCTTACTTCTAGTTCATCCTTTTAGTTTTTGCTGGGAATATTTAAAATAAGGCCAAATAAAAAATATATTGTTGGACTTCTTAATACTTTAGATATGATAATTGTAATTGTATGTCTTAAGAAAATCTTAGTATATTTTATATTCGTAATGTACCAATTGTGGAAGGAAACATAGGCACAATTTTACAGATAGTATAACTCTGATAGAAAAAGTTCAAAGCTTGATTAAGCTGGTATGTGTTTTGCTGTATAAGGATTCCTCTGATATGAAATGTAATTTACATTATAATAGCATTAAAAAGTTTTTTTATAAATTAGTTTTGTGCCATTTTGCATATTTTTAAAACCATATTTCCCCATTTTTAATATGGAAATACTTATATACATATGTAGACACAACTACATGTAAAAACATAGACATATATTTATAACTTTTCAAGATTTTTATTATCTCAATTAAATTACCCTGAGGGCTGGTTTGTGGTAATTTAATGTCATTAAAGAACAAATCAACACATATTGCAAAGTGTTTCCAGAAAATTAACCTGACATCCATGAAGTCAACATAATCATAACTTGCAGGACTTGCATCCAAAGTTAGAAAAATAAAATAAAATGTAATAATCTGGAGTAAATGTATGAGGAAATCACTACAGATTAACATTATTCGTTGTCATTTGCTTATGCAGTCCAAACCTCTTGTCAGGACTTTACTGACAAATATAAATGAATAGTCTTCTCCCAAGCATTTCTCAAGTAAGTTTTCTTGAATTCACCCCAGAAAAGCTCTCCATTTAACGCCAGATAAAGTGTTGTCTGATAGCTTATATTTAATTTTAAAACAAATATACTCACAGTACACATAGTTGCAAACACACATTTACTCCATTTGAGCCATATTGAAAGATTATAACTAACCTGATATTCCTGGGAGTCCTTTACTCTGTCCACTCTAACAAGGCAAAATGACTTCTGTGGTGAATGTAAGTTATAATGATGGTCTTAAAGGGAAGCTATGTGCGTGACTGAGAATAGACTATTACTAGGGGTCACAAGTTAAACTTTAAATAGATGAAGAAATGCACAGTATGATGGTAAGGTGAGTGGAAGAAATCTTCCTGTATGATTCAACTTGACTCCTCAAATCACTCTCTATTCTCCCCAATGATCTCACAAGTGAGAAATGACTTGTCAGTTGTGTGTGACATAGAGAACAGTAAGGCTCAGTTTTCCTACAGAGCTCATTCACAAAAGTCAAGCAATGTTAAAAGAATTGCAAATTTATTTTTAAAACCAGACCACTGGTGTAACCTGCTAGCAAGAAAATGGCTCTAGCCACATTAGAGAGAGAGGTGCCATCAGGAGAAAAAACAAGAGGGTCATTCTAACTGCCAAAATATTTGCAAATGGTTAGTGGCTACTGCAAGTTCCCTTTTGCTTTCCACAGAGGTTGGTGTAGATTGGATTTACCCCTGTAAATATCTGGTCTTATTTAAAGTTATTTTCTTTGAGCCAACATTCTTTGTTTTTATCAATTTCCAGAATAAACAATTACAACTAGACTTTAATGTAGTGTACAGGAAAAAAAATTGTACTGGTTACCTGATTTTAGTAATACTTTGTAGACGTATTAATAAAAATTCACCCTAGGATGAGTTGCACTCATCAGTTCTCGTTCTCTTTGTCGTTTCCTTAATAAAGCTATATTTCCTACATGATTTGATAAGTGGAAATTTAAGATAAGATAAAACTACAGCAATAAAAACAAAACTCAAAACAAACAAACAAAAAAGCCTACTTTAAATATTCAAAGTGCCAAACTATTAATAAAGGTTCTTCTGACAGGTTAAATCTCAGTGAAATATTAACTCACATAAAATGTCCATTTATTAATCTAAAAGTGGAAGGAAATATTCTGTTACTGGCAGACATTAGTAAACTAAAATATTCTTGGTTTATGTATGTGATTACCAAGTTTCTAAGATCCAAGGGCAAGCAATCCATCTAAAGGATTTATGATATAATGTTCATATTATTTTATAATTCTCTGCAAACCTAGTAAAGAATTTCATCAATCTGGCACTGTTCAGTGATTTTCTTATTTGCTAATTAAAGGAATATAGTAATTAGTTTTCTCTCACTCCTGTGAATGAGAGTTAGGCATTATCTGTGAGCACCTCATGTATGTCAACATTTATAGGAAATTTAACATTTTTATTTGCTGGGTCCTATCAATTCTGATTAGAAAGATTTCATTTCCATGTTACTACTATTAATTCAAAATGAAATATAAAAAGTTCTCCTTGCTGGTATATTTATGATATGTATCCTATAAATGCAATCCCATTTGCTCTCAATTAAATACAAAGCAGAAGATATAAAATATTCTTGTGATGTTTGCAGATCAAACAAAATTTTATGCATTAAAAATTATGTACAACTAGAGACTCTGTTTTTAATTTCTTAAAAAAAACTTCTGTGGTAAAGTCTTCAATAGGCAACCCAGCTCCTTTCCTTACCGAGTGTAGACACTTTGTATTTAACACCTGTCCATTGTAAAAGCTTCACAAATCCCCAAATTTGCCAACTCCATCATATCATATAATCTGCTCCACACAAATTTAGTAAAGTGTAATGTTTTCAGAGCTACTGTATGATATATAGAAAATAAAGCTGAAATGAGATGCCAATCATTAGTGTTTGGCCTGACTCACTAGTTAAGTGACTCGTTCACTTCTCATCCCATCATAGGTTTATATGTATGCTTTTTATGCCATTAACCTGTGGAGCTCCTTGAAAACAGAATCTCAAACATCAAATTGTAAATGCAAAGTGTATTGTACACAATGCACAATGACAGCC